TTTAGTGAGCAAGAAGATAAGAAAGAGAAGGGGATGGAGAGGTACCAAGAACCAGTCCACACAGAACCTTGGAAAAGGAAAACTGTGATACAAACGCCCAGGGGAAGAGCATCTGAAGGGAAGGGAAGGGCAAGTGCAAAGGCCCTGAGGTGGGCTGAGCCAGGTCCAAGGCAAGTCAGTGGAGCAGAGGTCAGAGAAGTGGCCGGGGCTGAGCCAGCAGGTGAGGTCATTGATTTCATTCCACGTTCACTGGGGTGTTCAAGGAGGAAACTGTGTATGACATGATCTGATTTGCCTTTTGATAAGACCCCTCTGGGCTCTGCACCGCATGTGTTGCAGGGAACAGAGGCGAGGCAGGAGCAATTCTCCATTCACTGGCTTCTCCTTCCCTCTCCCCCTCCCCCAGGTTTCCTTCGCCCACTTGCACAAGGTCCCCCTGCACACCTGGGTCCATGCCTGTGACCTGGGGCCCCCCGGGTGTCCCTGCAGCCCTGCCCTGGGCCAACCAGAGCTTGGCCCGCGAGTTCGTCCTGCTGGGCTTCGCTCACGTACCTGCACTGAGGCCGCTGCTCGCCTCGCTCTTCCTGGCCATGTTCCTGCTCACGCTTCTGGGCAACGCACTCATCGTGCTGCTGACCAGCCTGGACTCGGCCCTGCGCGCGCCCATGTACTTCTTCCTGCGCCAGCTGGCCCTCGTGGAGATCTGCTTCTCACTGGACATAGTGCCCCGGCTGCTGGTGACCCTGCTACGGCCGGGGCGGGGTGTGTCACCTGCGGGCTGTGCCCTGCAGCTGCTGCTGGTGCTGTCGTGTGTCACATCTGAGTGCTTCCTCCTGACTGCCATGGCCTGGGACCGCTACGTGGCCATCTGTAGGCCCCTGCGCTATGGAGCCATCATGAGCGCAAGGCTGTGCCACCTGCTGGCTGCTGCGTGCTGGTTGGCCGGCGTCCCGGTGTCCTTGGTCTTAACCATCTGGCTGTTCCGCTTCCCCTTCTGTGGGCCACGTGGCATCCGCCACTTCTTCTGTGACATTGCCCCTCTCCTGAGCCTGGTGTGTGCAGACACCAGGGTCTTTGAGGCCAATGTGTTGGTGGCCACAGTGCTGGTCATCATGGTTCCCTTCTGTCTGATAGTCATTTCCTACACCAGGATTCTGACCACTGTCCTAAGGATGCCATCTGCCACTGGGCGCCATAAGGCCCTGTCCACATGTGCCTCCCACCTTATTGTGGTGATTCTGTTTTACAGCACAACGGGGGTCATCCACTTGCGACCCAAGGCCAGTTACTCCCCAGAGAGCAAGCAGGTGGTGTCTCTGTCCTACACCCTGGTGACTCCCATGCTCAACCCTCTCATCTACAGCCTGCGGAACAAGGAGGTGAAGGCTGCCTTGGGGCGAGTGTCCTGCCACGGCCAAGGGTCTGGACTCCATGAATGAGCTTTTCCGGATCATTTTTCAGAATCAGAAATTGTTGATGCCTGTTTTTGCCCAGGATCCACGTGCAAGTATCTGGTGCGGCACTCTGATTTTCTTCTAGGAAACCATGATCTTTCTTCTTTCAGTTTGTGTAGTCATGATGATGCTGATTCCACCTTTCTGCCCAAGGCAGATGAGCAAGGGTTCAGTCCCTGATCACAATTATTTAGTAGGGGTGGACAAATGAACCTACTGTGGGCCAATTAGGGTGTCTTAGTTAGCTATTTCCATAAAAATTTGGTGTAATAAATCACCCTATAATTTAGTGTCTTAAGACGTGTTATTTATTCTCGTGAATTTTTAATCAATTGAACTTTAGTTAGACTAGATTGGACTCATCTGGGTGGTTCTTCTGATCTTGGCTAGGCTTGCTCATGAAAACGAGTGTTAACACAGGCTTGGTGTAGCTGGAGGTGACTCTGGTCCACATGTCTTTCATCCTTCTCTTAGGCCAGAGGGCTGGCTCAGGAATGTTTTTGTTTGTTTTTTTGTTGTTGTTTATTTAATTACAATGGCTGAGGTATATGTGAGGAGGCCCAATTGCACAACAAATTTTCAAGGCTTTGGTCATTTCACACACAGTAATATGCCATTGGCCAATGCAAATGACATGGACAATCTAAAGTCAAGGGATAGGGCAGTTCTCTCTGTCTCTTTGTGGGAGGAACTTTGAAGTTATATGACAAATGGCATTGATTAGTAAGGGGTAAGGAATATGGAACATTAATAAAATCTACTTCAGAGAGTCAAACCCCATGATTTTTTTCAAACTTCTCTGTGTCCATGGACTTGCAGCTGTGAAGATGTAAGCCTGTAGGTGCCAACAAGTATTTGACCTTTAACGGGAGTTCCTGCTTGATAATGGCATCAGTGCCATGAAAATCAACATCAAGAAACCAAAATCAAGAGAAGGAGGGAGATGAAATTCTAATGACCATTGGGCTCCTGGATCCAGCTGCTCCCGAAGTCTGTTATACCCTTGGGAATTCCTCTTATGTAAATAAATAAATTAGTTTTTACTTGAACAAGTTTGGGTTGGGTTTTCTACTCCTTGTAGTGACCCGATTTTGTCTTTATTTACCAGACTGGTGCATGAGTTAATTTATTTCTTCTCTCCAGCCCATTAAGAATTTTTTAAACATAGGTAAATGTATCAGAGGAAAAGTTTGTTCTCTTCAGCTTGTAGTCTATTATTGAAGGTATCTGATTTTTCTAGGAAACAGACTTGGATTTGAGTTGTCACTCTTTATTTTCTTGGGTATATGAACTGAAACTTTTTTAAAAAATAAAGAAAGTGAAATTTATTGCTTACAGTTTTAGAGGCTGGGAAGTCCACAGTGAGGGACTACATCTGGTGAGAGTCTTGATGTTGATGATAGTGACCCAGGGGTCTCACATGGCAGAAAATGGCAGAACAGAGAGAGAGAGAGACTCTCATGTGCTCTCCTTTTGAAGTCCTCAGAACCACACCCGTGACCACCAATATTAATCCATTCAGTTAGGAACTTTACTTAACTTCCCTGAGTCCCAGTTTTCCTATCTGGGAATAGTAACCATACCTGCCACACAGCATTGTTAACATTAAATGAGGGGATATGTGGAAGCATCTAGCACAGTTCTTGGAAGACAATAGGTGCTTGGTGAATGGTCTCCATTCATTAGTCCCGTAGCTATCCCCATAAATTAAAAACCCAAACACTCCATCTTCACAAAGGAGCATCCAGTAACATTCTGGGGGGGCTGGATTTGGAATTAGGAAACTTCTGGTTAGATCTGGAACCACGACCTTTGATGTGAGGTGTTGGACAAATCCCTTTACTTCTCTGATGCTCAACTTCACCCTCTGGAAACAGGAAGGGGTGTGGTGCTCAATTAGCCTCTGCTCTGTCTGCCACTCAGGATGACTGCAGGGATGTAATGAGACAATA